GCAGCATTCTGCTTACCCTTAATTCTTATTCAATTAAGCAACCGTTAACAAAAGAGCAAAAGACTTCCGAAAGGGCAATGGGGCACTGAACAGAGTACATTGTCACAGCTGTAGGGAAAATGGAGCCAGTCTTGAAGCAGCAGCCGGTGGGGAAGAGTGGCAGGCAAAGAGCACAAATCCACGTTGTGCAGTAAATCGATGGGCAGTAAATAAAGTCCAATCTTCTGTTCAGTCTGATCAAATTACAGAAAATGAAGACCAAGGGTGAGCTGAATGTTATGGACTGAAGGTTTAAGTCCCTTTAAATTCACGTGGCGAATCCCTAACTCCCAAGATGATGATATTGAAGTGAGACCTTTGGAAGGTTATTAGGCTTAGATGAAATCAAGAGGGTTGGGCCCCATGATGGGATTAGTACCCTTACAAGAAGAGAAAGAGCTGGGCGCGGTGGCTCCTGGTTGTAATCCCAGCACTTTGGGAGGCTGAGGTGGGTGGATCACCTGAGGTCAGAAGTTTGAGACCAGCGTGACTAACATGATGAAACCCCATCTCTACTAATAATACAAAAATTAGTGGGGCGTGGTGGTGCGCACCTATAATCCCAGCTACTCGGGAGGCTGAGGCAGGAGAATCACTTGAACCCAGGAGGCAGAGGTTGCAGTGAGCCGAGACTGCACCACTCCACTCCAGCCTGGGTAACATAGCAAGATACCATCTCAAAAGAAAAAAAAAAAGAAGAAGAAGAAGAAGAGAAAGAAACATCAGAGCAAGCTCACTCACTCTCTACCATGTTACCACGTGAGGATGGAGCAAGGTGGCCGTCTAAAAGCCAGGAAGAGAGACCTCACCAGGAACCAAGTCCAGCAGCACCTTCATCTTGGACTTCCTAGCCTCCAGAACTGTGAAAAATAAGTGTCTATTGTTTAAGCCGCCCTTGTGTGGTATTTTGTTATAGCATCCCTAGCTAAAAGTGTGACCAAGGGACTCCACCTTGATTGTCCATGATTGGAGCTGTAATCAAGTGAAATCTCCTAGACATGACATTTATGTGAATCCTCATCTTAAACGCAAATCCTAAATAAGCTCTAACCCTAAACTCTTCCTGTTCAATCTCCCCTTATAATTATACTAATTTATTTAGGTTAATCTCCACAGTCTATAAAATGTGTGCATTCAAAGGTACAATAAGAGACTCATGAAACTTGTGAAAAGATGATCCTATGAAGTTAAAATTAATCAACCCAAAATAGGTGCAAATGACAACCCCAAGAGATGGTCTGTCACTATAACTGTTGAGACTGAAATTGTGCCCAAGCCTCCCTCAACACACAAGAATTAATTATAAGGAAGATGAGACAGAACAAAGGAAAGGAATTAAAAGTTGTTGGAAAGAAGAGACAAAATTATTGTTATTTGCAAGTGATAGGACCTAGAAATCCAAAAATATTCACTGGAAAATGATCAGGAATGTAGTTCAGTAAGATGAATAGTTACAGAGCTAAATCTACAGAAATCAGTAGTTCTTTGAGATAACAGCAAAACCTACTAGAGAATGCTTTGGAAAAAGATCCTGCTTACAAGGGCAACAAAACCCATGAAACACTTAGAAATAGAACAAAAAGAAATGTGCAAGACCTATATGAAGAAAACTATAAAACCACCAAACGTCACAAAATGCTATAAAAACAATAATATAAAGACGTCAATTCTTCCCTACTGTGCCCCAGTTTATTTATAAATCTAATATAATTCTGCCTGCCCATGGTGTTCTGTTCTTTTCTTGGGTGTCTTGGATGTTCTATTCTTGGATGTCTATGAAACCTGAATAATTCTCTCTTTTTTTAGCTAGTATGAGTGGGCTTCTATTCATTGCTACCAAATGACTAACTCAACCTGGGCTACCTCTTCATCTCTCATGGGCTCGTGTACCTTGAGTCTCAAATCCTCTCCTTCTTTCTGCACCTGTCCCACATGGGCTTTTGCAGCTCCTTGCAAAACAAAAAAAAAGTTTTTTAAACCTTTTTTGCAGCTTTTACCTGTCACAACACCAACCTTGTCCCAACTCAACATCTCCTTCATCTTAACTGACTCAGCTCCCATGATGGTTAATTCAGAATCACTAAAGAAATATTCAGACAGGCTGAGCCCACCCCTTGAGTCAGGTGCCTACCACTGATCCAACTAGCTGTAACCAAGAGAAACTGAGTCTTGTGGCTTCAGATGAGTGAGGTGTTGTGTGTTGCGTGTTGATAAGGGAAGCCATGGTTGACTCTTTACCACATGGGTTTATCAATAATGATAGCTTACATTTATTGGACACCTACACTGAGCCAGATACTCATGCATTTTGCCTCATTCTAAATTCCTAACACTTTGCCAACCACCTTACCACAAAGATTTTATCATCACTTTGCTGTTAAAGAAACTGGCTACTTGAGGTAGGTAACTTCTCTGTGTCACTTGACTGACCTGTAAGTCAAAGATGGATCCAGTTTCAAGTCTCAAATACTTGGGTTCTTGCCTCCTGGCCTCCCCAAGTTCAGAGAGCAGAATCACATCCCCCAGGCTGAAGTGCACTGATAAATTCAGCCTCTGGGACAGCAAAACTGGGCACTTCCTTCTCAAGGACTTTGCCCAGACACTTCTCCACCAGCTACCGCCCTTATTTACCCAGGAACTCCTCTCAGCCTTCAGTTCTCTGCCAAGTGTGGCTGTACCTGGAGAAGACTTGAGAGATTGATTCTCCATGCTCTGCCTTGCTGTGCCCCTCCTTCTGTTCCAGCATCTGCTTATCCTCGTCCCTTCCCCACCAGCCTAACAGCACCTTGACAAGGACTGTCCTGCTTTGCAGCCACTGCACCAAGTCTACACCCACAGCAGGAGCTGAATACACATGGCTGAAGGGACATTGAATTAGTGATGCTCCAAATTGCTGGCAGCCCGTAGCACCTCAGGAGTTTCCTTCCTTTACTCTAAATAAATACTGCAGCCCATGGTAAGGAAAAGGTGCTCCCTAGCCTGCAGCCACAATCCCTTATCCTTCTTCTGGTTTTATGAGACCATAGATTCAACATACCCAGTTCCTATGCTGAGGGTGGGGTGCATTTGGAATCTTTTCCATGCTGTTAGCTGAAGCTCTAGACCCTCATGAATCTACCTGGGAAGTGAACAGTTAAATTCATCCCTGTGGCTCAAAGGAAAGCAGTTATACCCCTGTCCTGTGATGGGAAAAAGAGAGGCACATCACAGTCTTTGAGGTACCTCTCCAAATTTCACATCTCTCACCCCACTTTCATCCTTCTTCCCCCAATGGTCCATTGTTACTAAAAGAATATTCCCAGTCCTTTGGGGACATAGGGAAGAACCACTCCACTGGAATCTTCTGTTCTGCATAGAGAGTCCCCTGTAAAGAAGGCATCCTCATTATAAGCCAGATTAGCTTCCAGAGGGGTCAGCGTGGGGTGAGCACCAGCCAGAGTGCAGCCAGTATAGACAGCGTCCCTGCTTCCTTTATGTGAAATATTCAGAGGATAGGGGTGCTTGAAGTATAAGGTGTGGTGAAATTGATCCAAAATTTGTAAGTGTTTGTTTTGTTCCTGGCTTACTTTACATTGGTAGCTTAAGGGAATGCCAAGAAGACTACATCGAGACTCATCTGATTTCTTTGGCATTCGTACCCCTGCTGTCTCAGGAAGCTTTTCCTGGAGTGTCCCCTCAGCCTGTGTTCCTCTTTTCAGTAGGGACCCCAACATCAGGAGTCCCTCAGAGCCCTCACTGGTTGTCAGGGTCCAAGTGATCCTATTTAGCTCTCCGATGATTGGAAATTGATCAGAGTCTATGAGTCTTCCCTGTCTCTAACAACCACAGGGAATTATCTGGCAGGAGAGATTTCCTTACAAAAGAAAATATGCACATTTTCAGAGGGATTTTTGAGACAGTAAATCACCCAATCATGCCAGTGTTTCTCAACCTGTGCCCTCCCAACAATAAATAGGGCCCTGCCGCAGGAACAGCGGTACGTCCACCTGCAGTCAGTGCCCTGCCCATGCCTCACTCACCATCCCTTACATCCACACACCCATGCACACACATGGTGTCATCTCTTGCCCCTTTTCCCATTATTCTTCATGCTCCACCTTGACCCTTGGTTAAGGAGCTGGCAAAGGAAAGACATGCAATGTCCCACAGTATACAAGAGCAGTCATGGAGCATCTCAAGCATCTCAGGAAGTTGAAGATGAGATGTGACTTACACATCACGTTATCATGTGGAAAAGTTCAAACAAAAACCACAAGTGCCTCCCAAGGCGGGTACCCACCCACCCAACTGGTTCCCGAATCAGTGACAGCGAGGTCCTCTCCATGTGATGGACCTCTCCTCAGTGCCTACAAAACCACTTTGGGATTTGCAGAACAGTTTACCTGCAAGGTTTGCAGGGGGAGAAGATGGAGCGGAAGAGAAGCCTGATAGCTTCACTAAATTACAGGTTGTAATAAATAACCCTACCAGGTGGCAAATCACAGCATGGAGGAAGTTGGGGAGTCTGGAGAAGGTGCCAGTACCCTGGAGTCACACAGGTGCAGAGTACTGCAGATAAGCCGCAGAATGGCCTCTAACAGGCTAGGGTGTCCCCTTTGGAGATCTGAAATGGGTCTGCTGAGTAAATCTGGGGACGCTCCAAACACATGCGCATCACCTTCTCCCGTTTTATTCTCCTGGATCAGTCATAATTCCCCAGGGAAACTTCTGAGTCTTCGGCACCTGAGGATGCAGGGCTCTGTTCCCATGATAAGAAGAAAATATATTGCCATCGCCAGCCAGCACTTAGGACTCTCCGAATGAGGCAGGTATGGCTGAAAATGGATCTCTCACTCCCAGCAAAAAAGCTCCTGACAGAAGACAACGTGTTACGTCTCTGACTCCTAAGAGAATAAGGAAATAGACACGTGGCTCACAGTCATCTCTAACATCGGGTAAAATAAAGAGAGAAAGGCAGACACTTGAATTCACTCATCTTAACTTCATTTTATTACAACATCAAGGAAAATAGTTGCAGGAGGAATGAAAATGGAGAGAAACATAGAGATTAAGCTACTCACAATTCCATTGTCTATACCTTCCTACAAGGGTCTAAATATCACAGGTTTCTGTACATGCATTGGAGGTTTGCTGTGCGTGTGTGGATTGTGTGTGGATGACTTCTCTCTAGGGTGTTGTTCATTTAATTTCTTGACAGATAATGGTTGAGTTTGGTGTTTTCAGGTGGAATAGGAGGGGGCTCTCCCGCTAGGACTGAGACCCAGCCTTCTTCTTCTGGAATTTTCTGAACTGAGACTGAATGGCCACCGCTGCACGTTCTGTCTCTGGTGCATCCATGTCAATGTCAAATTCTTCTTGAACTTTCTTCTGTCCATCTGTAGCAAGACAAACACAAACAGAAGGCAGTCACTGAGCTGAAAATAGGAAAGCAGACAGCCCCACTAGATAAGTGAAGCCAGGGAGTCCACCTTGGGGCACACACAGGGGCTTGACTTACACCCCAGCACAAGAGCTCATTTGCAAAGTAAAATCCAGTGGACTGTTTTGACAGAGCTCAGAATCTACCACCTGAGCAGGACAATAAAACTCAAGGACACAGTCTCAACACTTCATGTACTTTCTGCACATGATTTTCTGTTCTCAATGACCATCTTGATATATGGTTTTAATATTGGCTGTGCTGTTACTTTCACCTGCTATCTCACATAGGTACCATTTAAATATTGCTAAGACATTCGTCCAATGGTAGCTGATATTCACAACTACTAAGTTAGCAAAGTCGTACACTGAGTTTCCATGTGTAATTCTGTGTGTCATTCTCAGGGAAGATTTGCTTATTGCAATCAGGGCTTCCATTTTTATCATCGTCAAGATGGGATGACACCATTTGATCTTCATAGTTCGACTGAACTTTCACAAAGCTTACATTCTTGTTCCTGTGAGGTAGGCTTGGCAAATGGCTTGCTAAGGTGGAGGGATTTCACCAATTTGCACAGTGACAGGATATAAAGCAGGGGGTGGAGGAAGGAGCAAAGGCGTGGGCCTCTGTGCTGTGTACCTTACTACGGTACAGGGCCAGTGCAGCCAAGAAGGAAAAACAAATAAATCAATAAAATTCTTCAGTCGTGGAAGGTAAATGTCTTTCAAAGGCCTTCAGTCTGATCAGACCCGGCGTGTTCAGGGTGGTATGGACGTAGAGTGTATAGTGTATGCTGCTTGGGTGATGGGTGCATGAAAATCTTACAAATCACCACTGAAAAACTTACTCATGTAAGCAAACACCACCTGCTCCCCAAACACCTATGGAAATAAAAAACTAAAATAAAATAATAAATGCCTGTAGTCTAATGAAGACTAGACATCAGATTCATCAAAGGCATCCTTTTTCTTTTTCTTTCTTTTTTAAATACAGGCATGAGGGTCCATCCCACCCCAAACTCCAGGCTTCCTCCTTGCCCAGCCGCAGTGGGAAGGGTGCTCCTAAGAGCAAGATTGATGTTGAGAAATCCGTGTCCCTGCAGGGAGGCCAGACATCTACACTTTTAAAAAGGCTCTCAGGTGTAGCCAGAATTGAGATCCAAAGACAAAGGAGGCCTTGGAGTTACCTTGAGCCAGAACTGGGGACAGAACTCACCTCTCCTGGGACTTGGACCAAGAGCCTCGCTGCCACCCTGGGCTTGTACCTAGAGCAGAGGAGGTTGTGAGGAGCACAACCAGCTTGGAGATGGGAGAACTGGGGGCATTCTGAGGCAGAGGAAAAGCCCTAGCCAGGGAGCAGGGCACAGGCTCTATTCCTGACTGTCTCCAGGCAGCCTGAGTTCATCATCTACTACCTTGTTTAGGGACTTTGCATAATAATGTTCAGGCACCAGCTCTATCGGAGAGGGTGGAGGAAGCTGGGGTTCCTTGAGGATTTCAGGTAAGGCCTGCCTATTCTCCTGCTTGCAGTAGATAGATAGATAGACAGACAGACAGACAGACAGACAGACAGACAGACAGACAGATAGATAGATAGATAGATAGATAGATAGATAGATAGATGATAGATAGATAGATAGATAGATAGATAGATAGATAGATGGATGGACAGAGATAGATGGATCAATAGGTGGATGGATGGATAGATACTTAGACACATACATACATATATACATAAGTAGATGATAGATATAGAAGATGATAGAGAGATAGATAGATATAGAAGATGATAGATAGATACATACATGGATGGATGGATAGATACACACATACATACATACATAGACAGATGAACATAGATAGATGGATAGATAGGTGGATGGATACTTAGATACATGCATACATATATACATAAGTAGATGATAGATACCTACATACATACATACGAACAAACATAAGTAGATGATAGATAGATACAGATAGACAGGTAATAGATAGATGAGAGTCAGCACTTATTTCAGATGCATCTGGTTGGGTAACATTTCCTCTGCAGATCCGTAAGCAGCCTCCTCTCAATTTTCCTAGCACCTAAGCAGCTTCTACCTGGAGTCCCTCAATCATACCCTCACCTAACAGGAGGGAATGTCAGCTCTGGCTTTGGAAGCCTTGTAGGACTGATGGAGCCATGACCCAAATCAGAGAACTGTTGTCTTCTATTTCAAACTTGCTGCCAATGCTCATAAAAGCAGAGATGTTGAGTGCACCAATGCTTCAGAATATTTCAGAGGCAGGGGAGGGGGGCGCTTCCTTTTTCATCCACAACAGCCCAAACGATAGAGAGACAAGTGGAACTGTTTCTCACACTCCAGGTAGCTATTCACATCGTCTTCTACATTGCCAGGGCCCTTTCTTTGGAGAACCATAAGGGGTAGGATCACTGGGAGAAGTCAAAGTTTCCTATGGCTCAAGCAGATGCTTTAAAAGTGGTTAATTAATGTTATCACATGAGCCCGGAACTGGAGGGCAAGTGTCTAGCGAGCCCAAAATGCAAATGGCTCCAGTGTTTGTGCTGATGGCAATAAACCCTTTAGTACCAACAACATCCTTGGTTAGGTAGCATCTACAGCACTAGGAATTGTCATTTTTCATAAGATGGTTTATAGTCCCAAATCCTCCTACTCCCAGAGGAATCCTTGCATCGACTGTACAGTGAGTGCAAAGGGGAAAAATTCACTCTGATTCTAAGGAGGAGGGGAAGTTACTCTTTCAAATTTAAAATGTGGCTGCAGTCTGAAGTTTTAAAAGGGCCTGATTCATCTTTCTTCTTTTATAATAATGGAAGAAAGCGGCAATATTATTTTTTGACAAATGACAAATGAAGACTCTGAAAATTATGTATATTAAGGAAATACATAATGAAACAGTGAGGACAGGTCACAAAAATCAATTTTGCACTTACATCTTAAACTAATATCTCAGCCAAAAGTGATCGACTGATTCCTCTTTTGAAAAATATTACATTGTTTAATGAAGAAACCAACCACTGACATTTAAGGAATCGCTACTTTCTGTGTATACTTCAGATAGGCCAGTCCCGGGGGAGGGTCAGATGCTGTTAGAGGAGTGACAGGAGCTCCTTCCACTGAGCCAGCCAGGAGCGTATAAGGAAGAGAATGGGGCACCCGACTGCAGTGGAGAAGGGACAACCAATTAGACTCGGCGGCACAGGCACAGGGTTCAATACAAATGGCCTGTGGCTCTGGAAGTCAGGAAAGTGCAGTTCTAAATACCCCAGATTCAGAAGGCACGAGGGTTGGGGAGGAGAGTAAGGGAAGGGACCACAGCCAGGCCCAGAACCACTCTTCAGAGCCTTGGAGCCTGCCAAGGTTCCCCAAGAATGACCCCAGTGATAGTGACAAGACCACAGGAGCAGGGTGGCCCCGTGAGGAGCCTCCCCAGCCCCATCAGTCCCGGGCACTCCAGCCTGGGCAACAGAGTGAGACCTGTCTCAAACAAAAACAAAAACAAAAAGCACAGGCCTCGTGTCTCAGCAGCCAAAGCCCTCAGTCTCCTTGGGGATGAGAGGCTGCCTCTCTCCTCACACTTAGATACTCCCCGCATGGAGTGAGGCACCCGGCAGAAGCAGGGCTGTGGAGTCCGGGTAAAATCTGAATTTGGGAATTGCCTCTGACCGCTCTGTGACTCTGGAAAAGGTTCTTAGCTTCTCTGGTGCTCGGTTTTCTCATCTAGAAAACAAAAGCCTGTGCTACCTGGTTCCCAGTGTTAGGTTTATGTTCAGATCAACACTCAATGGTACCTTAAAGAACAGGCCACACTGTACTGGGCATGGCATGGCCAGAGCTGCAAAGGCCAGTGAAGGGACGTGGCAGTAAGGTGGCTCTCCCGCCTCAGGGTGTCTGTGTCTGCTCAGTGGTGTGATTCATGGATCACTCAGGCCCTAATCCAGGGAGGAAGAGAGCACTTTCCATCATGGCCGCCCACAGGGTCATCGTGGTCAGCTGTTTGCTGGGCTTGTTGCAAGATGGCCCCAGCCCAGAAATACAAGGCAGAAAGAATATCCTTAAAATTTGTTTGGCCGGGCGCTGTGGCTCACGCCTGTAATCCCAGCACTTTGGAAGGCTGAGGCGGGCAGATCACAAGATCAGGAGATCAAGACCACCCTGGTTAATACAGTGAAACCGTGTCTCTACTAAAAATACAAATAATTAGCCAGGCGTGGTGGCGGGTGCCTGTAGTCCCAGCTACTCGGGAGACTGCGGCAGGAGAAAGGCGTGAACCCAGGAGGTGGAGCTTGCAGTGAGCCGAGATCACGCCACTGCACTCCAGCCTGGGCAACAGAGCAAGACTGCGTCTCAAAAAAAAAATGTGTTCAAAAGAGAGACCTCCCTCTGCCGACCGATACAGTCCACAATTCACAAGTCAAGTCACTGTAAAGCTTGGACAATGCAGAAGGACATTCTCCTTAGCCACGAGGACACTCACCATGCCCTCCTAGTGGCCTAGAAGCCTTTGCAGAGCTTCTGTGTCCAGGTGGGAGCAGGGCATCTAAATGAGTGGTACGGACGAAACGAATGCCATTGTCATGTCCAGAATGCAGTACAATCATTTCCGTCATATTTCCACTTGCTCCTTCACACAGATGTCTGAAGGCTTGGGTCTGGACTGGGTGGCCTCTCCCTGACATTTGCACGTAGGATTCTGCCGCCTGTACTGGAACATCACTTTGGCCACACCCAGTCTCAATGGTGGCTTTTCAGCCTGAGCAAGCAGCAGGTTAGACTAAATTACAATTGGCCTGAGGATGCCTCCATACTTCGATCCTCAAATAAAAACTACAATCTTCCTTAGTACAAAAACTAACTAGAAGCCTAACTCAGGAGTACTGTACAGGTACGCTCTGGTCAACAAACAGTGAGGTCTCCATCAATCACAGCCG